CAAGAGAACGAGTCCTCAGTTCTAGCTACAAAATATTTACTTTTTAAAAATCATTCTTTCGGGCTCTCTCTCACGTCATACATGTTAAGCTCAATGCTACAGTGACAGGAAGATAATCGACTTGGACATAATAAACTTCTTGGTAGACTGGAGACAGAGACATCCTTTCGGTTGTCATATCTCTTATGATTCAAGTCCTAGACATGGTATAAATCAGCTTTGTGAAAATACCAAGCAAGTGTGAAGTACTGTATCATGCTCAACATTCTGGCGAGTTATCATACCTGGGGAGGCCGAAGGTATGGCAGGAGAGCGACCTCCTCTCCTGGGGGCGCGAGGTGGCGGCGTCGGAAGATCCTCACCCTCCAAGGACACTCCAAGCTCCAATGACTCGCTAGCTGAACCCTCTAGGTCGAGGGATGCTCCCGCTGATGCTGCCGGCCTAATGTAGTCACTGACCTCCAGGTGGCGTTCTTCCAAATAGGAGTCGCCACGGTCGATTGACGAAGCTAACTCATAGGAGCCTCCGAGGGGTAGGTAGCTCATGGGTCGTCCATCGGAACTAGTGATTTCAATTGATACTTCTCTATCAAGCGACTCCGTTTCATGCTCTAATAAGCTTTCCGTTTGAAAGGAATCATGTTTTCGTCTAGAGTATTCTACATCAAAAGACGGCCCACGTTCCACAGACGATCCAACCTCAAAGGAGGATCTTTTCTCCACCGAAGAGCCAGCCTCGAATGATGGCCCTCTCTCCACGGAAGACGTAACCTCGAAGGACGGCCCTCTAGAACTCTCATAATCAAAAGAGGGTGGCTTCTCGCTGGAGCTTCCCAGATCCAGGGAAGGTTCATGGCTGCCGCTGGAACTTGCTAGAGAAGATTCGGCCTCGTCCGAGGATATTCGAGCAACACGTCGCACCTTGCCGGCTGACCCGCCGTCATAAGAACCAACGACTGAGCTCTCGCCGGATTCACCATATTCGAAGGACGAGCTGTCACCTGTATAAACAACACTCACTATAGGAAAAACAATCAAATAAGTCCTGTCGCCCCCTGATTAGCTTATAGACCCACATATACGATTCAGATACAGCAAGATATAATACAATTTAGCATCAACACATGGAATATACAAACCCGACCTTTGGTCAACGTGGCGGAGTCCTTGGGTAACGAGGAGCCGACAGTGGTGGTGGACTTGTAGGTCTCGTACTCGAAGGACCTTTAGGGGAGAGAAGATCATCACTCAGGGAGGATAAGACATGCACTCCTCCCAAGAGGGCTAGCAATCATCGTTTAAGAAGGTCTAGAATACTATCTCATACTGAGGCTTAGCCACCGTCACTTAGTAAAACTAACAACCTAAACCTAAACTAACAAGCAAGTAATCATGGTCAGGAGACCTTAAGGAGGCTATGAAAACTTCGTTCTGGAAGACCAAAACAACTTCAGTGGGTCTTGGACGATATCAGTAAGTCTTGGACATTGAGTGAGTCTAGGAAGTACAGTGATACTAGTACACACAGTGAGGCTAGGATACACACACACACATGAGACTAGGACACAGTGAGGCTAGGATACATACACACACACACACACACATGAGACTAGGACACGATGAGGCTAGGATACACACACAAACACACATGAGACTAGGACACAGTGAGGCTAGGATACACACACAAACACATATGAGACTAGGACACAGTGAGGCTAGGATACACACACACATGAGGCTAGGACACACACCGCGAGTCTTTAACTATGATACTAACACTCAAGGAGGCTTTGATAGTTTTAAATAAAGGGGGAGATTACAGGGGCTACTCACGACAAGTCCCTCGATAAGATACTGAAGTGCCGCAGCAGAAGGCTGCCACTTAATTAAGATGATTAAGATAATTAAAAAAGGTCACTCAGAATCTCTTTCGAGTTGCTCAGAAAACCTGTAGCAGTTATTGTATAACGCTGTAGCTGGACAATCACTACTACAACGTTATACAATAACGTTGTAGTACTGTGATTGTATAAACAAGAAGGGTCTGGTCGTTGAAGGTAGTGAACCGTCTGTGGTAGCCAGCGAGCTACTGGTGTTGGAACGACGTATCCCGGAGAGGAGAAGTTGTGCTCGTAGACGGAGTGAAAATCTGTCGGTCCTCTAGGTTAAGGCTTGTTTGTAGTTAAGGCTTGAGAGAAAGCCAGCCAGCCAGCCAGCCAGCCAGCCAGCCAGCCAGCCAGCTAGCCAGCCAGCCAGCCAGCCAGCGTGCTGCTGGAGTTAGTGTTTAGACACTGTGATAATATTGCTGAGGACTGGCCAGTGAATTTTGGGAAATGTGTTCTCGCCGGCGCGAGTACCTCTTGAAGAAGGGCACACAGGGAAGGAGCCCTGAATGTTGTGCTAGAAGGAATCACCGTGATAGGAGATCGCAGATGTTTTTGTGGTGTCCTGAGTAAAGGTGACACATATAGGGTGGTATCTGTGGCGTATATATATCTTGGTGAATGTTTCTTGGAAATAATTACCTGTACATAATATTTAAGTACATTTGGTGATGGTTTTGTCTACTGTTGTTTAACCCACCCACCTTCCCTTTTGTCTATCACTGCTTCACCCCTGACTTGGGGTTGGATCTGTGAAGAATGAAACATTACAGGCCCTAGAGAGACGAAAAAGGACCCAAGTTACTGGCTAAGTGAAGCCATAACAGTAACACACTCAGGAAGGCATTAAAACATTCAGGATGGCTGTGACACAATCGGAAAAGATGTAAATCACTCGGCAAGTCTGTGACACTCAGGATGGCTGACATACTAGGGAAGGCTGTGACATACTCAAGACGGATACAACACACTAGGGAAGGTTGTGATACAACCAGGAAGCCACTGACACTATTAGAAGGACTGTGGCATACTCTGGGAAGCTGCGACACACTCAGGAAGGCCGTGATGTACTTGGGAAGGGAGTACCACACTCAGGACGGCTGTTGCCTATCGACAATCAATATGATCCATACATTTTTGTCCGTGTTCTGAGCGCGAAATCCTTGGGTGAATCAGCCATACTCACGTTCTCAAAGACATAGTGTATAAATCTTCAACTCATCTCTTGAGCCCATCACAGGGGCATCACAGAAAATCCATTTGCATAGCACTGGCTTCGCCTGGTGAGGCTAAGGGCTTCACACCTGAAGCTCTTAACCTACTTGTGTGACACCTACTCTCTAGCACCCCTCCGTCACTCCCCAGACGGCACAATATCAGAGAGACACGTTGAATGAACGTTGATTAAATAAATGATTCAGCCTCGATTTAACGTTGAATTCAAGTTACTCTTGGGTATTGTGGCCACTAGGACGAGGTTTGTTTGATATTTGGTCTTCAAACATCTCTTGTAATAGATGTTTTTCGGAAAGCTGAAGTGTTATAAACTGTTTCATCTGTACGAATATTTTATGCCACTGAGCAATTCGACTAACTTTTGTCATATAACTTTGCATTTATTAATTATATTCTCAAAAGACATCTAATTACTCAATGGCTAACCAGTCTTTTTAAACTACGATTTTTTTTCTTTGCACTTATTCAAATTTATTTTTTTTTAACATTAATGATAGACTTGGAAGGTTCTTAATGGCTCTTAGCACATCCTCACTCCACTTCACTTCTCAAATATTCTCTTAAAACAATAGTTATTGCATCTAATTATGCACCTAATTTTGCCGTCTGCACAAACAGATAATTATTGCAAGCGATGAGTCACAATAACGTGGCTAAAGTATGTTGACCAGACCACACACTAGAAGGTGAAGGGACGACGACCAGATAATAATTCACCATCTTAATAAAATCCTAGACGTTTCTAAGGCTTTTCTTACTGACTGCACTATCTTCTAAGTCATATAACTCTCGTTACGTTTATCTTCAGTTAATTAGCTGACCTAAACAGAACTCCCTCTCTTGTTTGCTTCCCAATTCTTGCACTTAATCCGTTTAACTTGTTTGAGTGTCAAACAACGTATTAGTTCCTTCATCCCTCCCCTTGTATGTGGTTATCTTGAGATGATTTCGGGGCTTTTTGGTGTCCGCGCGGCCCGGTCCTCGACCAGGCCTCCACCCCCAGGAAGCAGCCCGTGACAGCTGACTAACACCCAGGTACCTATTTTACTGCTAGGTAACAGGGGCATAGGGTGAAAGAAACTCTGCCCATTGTTTCTCGCCGGCGCCTGGGATCGAACCCGGGACCACAGGATCACAAGTCCAGCGTGCTGTCCGCTCGGCCGACCGACTCCCTTCATCTTAATAAAAGCGTAATAGTGGCTTTAGGCATTGTATGTACTAGCTCTATCTATGACTCCATCAACTGTTGTATTTCACCTTGTATGTATGTACTTTACCTCAATAAATATTTGTATTTGTTGTATTTGTATTTACATGGGTAACGTTACAAGAGTATTATGGTTACTTGTGTCACAGCTTCTCGTCTGCGAGAGCTCATTAATATGATTAGTGTAATAATTCCCATTGCTGGGGACAGGAAGCCTCTGTATATATAAACTTTAGGCTTATATCGAGGTATCACCCCCCCTCTTCCCAGGATGTAACCTCACAACAGTTGACTAACTCTCCCGGGTACCTATTTACTGCTAGGTGAACAGCGGCATTAGGTGAAAGGAAACCTGTCCAACCATTTCTACCGTGGGGAGAGGTGTGGGGGGTGAGGAAACCTCGATATAAGGTACAAAATACATGTACTGTATTTATAAACTGACTGCCTGTCTTCCGACACAATGAATTAAAATAAATCAATATACTCAGAAAGCATAGTTAACATGGATGAAATAATTTTGAAATACTCAATAGAATATGACAAATGAAACTGTACCAGTCACACGCTTTTAGGTTGGCGGATGAGAGAATGTAAATATTGGCTAGGCTGTTAATATAGGCTTTCTGAGTACGGATCTGGTTACTACGGATTAGTCAAATAAAAAACTAAACTAAAAACATCTACTTTATTGATGAACGTCTTCTACATGTTCTCGATGGAATAAACAAAATTCAATCATAAAAATAACAAAGAAAATGAGTTTGATGGACCAAGACGGTGGCAGATCTAGAGGCAAGAAGAAGAAGTTTACAGACTATAGTAATATATATACATGTCTCATCCGCCCATCACCCGACAACGCTGTTAGGGTGAACTCTTGCGGTCTGGCACCCTTACCTCACCTCTCTGGAGGCTCAACTCAACGGATTGTTACTGTTCACAAGTGCATCAAACACTTTTGCGTTCACGCTAATGGTTACTATCTACAAGCCTTATTTATCGTGTGTATAAACAATTAAAAACAACCTTCTCAGTATAACATAGGCACATACTTTACACACATAAATATACCACTCATCCAAGGTAATGTAAGGTTTGTATATCTAATTATCCACACAAAAAATCGAAGTGTAAAATCAGATTAATATAATATTGATTTTTCCAAACAGTTTATGCTAATTTAACATGGAATGGTCATCGAGATAACAGGAACTGTTATATTTTAACTGAAAGGACAATATTGCAGTTATCACTAAAGGCTCTAATGAACGGTCGCAAAATGAGGGGAAGAAAAAAGTGACAAAACCCAGCAGGTTAATGATTACTGAAAGATAATTATGACTGTAAAGAAACAAAATCACTTACTTAAAGAGACAATGAAGGAAGAGGAGTATGAGGGAAGAGTCCCTCATACTCACATTCTGAGGGATCTGAAACTATGACCAGTTAGCATTAAACTTTTGGCCAAGACCACTTATCATCGAGCCTAAATTTCCTATCAAATCTTTCAGTTCCATCTTACTTGCATCAACACGGTCTTCTAAGGAGTCTGCCGCTGGCAGAGGATGCGGCGAGACCACAGGAGACCCGAGGGTGTTGAGGGTCACATCCTCATGCTCCAAACACCGACTCATGATGTCATCCAGATAGGTGATGCGGTCTAGTATCGAGGATTGGATATGAACTTGATCGTACGGTTGGAGAGTTTCTATGACCTTTCCCGGGTCACTCCTGGAAGGTAAATCTTCTAAAGCCCAGTCAATGTCGCTCACAGAATGCGCGCGGGAACTTTGGTGCGAGCCAGCGTCGACTACAGAACTACCCTTGTGATACGTGACGGGAGATAGTGACTGCTCCCTCACAACACTCGCTGTCTTTTCGAAAAATTTGGCTATGTTGTCTGCGCTAAGTGTCCCGCTTTTCTCGTTCATGTTGGTGACCAAGTCGCTAAGATCGCTTATCAGATGCCTGAGTTCTCCTCGCCTGAGGCCCACGCAGCCACTAGAGCTCACACGAGACAAGGGAGCAAGGGGTGAAGGGGCGGCAGCACCCTCGTCGTCTGACACTCCCAAGGTATTCAGCGTCACGTCTTCGTTTTCCATACACCTATACACGAGGTCCTCCAAGAAGTCAATCCTCGATGTGATCTCTTGAGTTATTTTTGGCTCCCACGACGATACCTCGTCAATATTTTGGTGCACTGAAGAGAGCAAATCCTCAGCGGAATGACGGAAATTAGGACTTTCTAATTTTTGCTGGTTTGAAATTAGAGAAGCAGAAGTCAAATGGGGCACTAGGTCTCTCGAATGCACAGATGTTATACCTTGCTGTGTTACTGACTTCCTCCTCACGGATTGGAAGTCATCATTTTCGTTAGTAGGAGTTACAGATCCGCTGTGTGAAGTTGAACTTTGATCATCAAAACCAGTTACTGCCTCAATGTACTCTGTGCTCTCATATACCATCATCTCTGTTGGAATACCTTTAATTCTTGTTTGTTCCAGAGGAGCAATATGTTCTTGAACATTGCATTCATGACTTAGATTACTGTACATACTGTTTTTCGTGTGCATACATTCTTTGTGATTAACATGCATATCTTCTTTAGATGTTCCTTGCACACTGCTGAAGGCTTGCTGCTTCCACAAACCTTGCTGGTTACCCGCCATTCTTCTCATCCTCATGTCTCTCAACATAGTGACTGCAGGTCCTTCGAGAGACAAGAACGGTATATGGCTGTCCACTGTTGTATCACGTACCATGGGATCATACAGATCCCGGACGTCTTTCCCCCACTCCATAGCATCCAGTGAAGAGTCTGAATCTCTGTCGTTTCCCAAAGTACTCGCGCTACTCCATGTTGAGTCATCATCTTCCATTTGTTCAGAGTAATCAGTGGCTCCCTCACTAATCAAAATGTTCCCCTGGCATTTCTGACCCCTTGCATTGATGTTGCCGAGGTGGGTCATGCTCGCCAGCCCACCGCAGATGATTCTGAATTGATTCGCTATTGCTATCCTTCCTCGCGTTGTCCACTGTCCTCCAGCAGCTGAGACTTCGTTCTCTATAGTATGAAGCTCATTGGTTCCGGGCTCCTTGTTCCTACTCCCGCCTGCATCACTGCATGAGGCTTGTTCATTATTGAGGTTACGCACTACCCGGTTACCTGTGGATGTCTCGCCACTGACGCTTCTAATCAGGTGATCATCTGTTCTTAATCTGTCACTATTGACCCATGACGTTTCAGTGACTGGGATTGCTTCGCTTAGAGTCATTGCAACATTAGTTGCAAGACTTTCGTTGCTAACAGTCTTAACTTTCTTGTCAGTTACGACTTTCTGTTTAGAAAAGTCTCTGATTGGGTTAGTTGCTGTTTCCTTTTTACCAGCATACCCCACAGTCTTCCCATTTATTTCATTGACATACACTTTCCCCATCGTTCGATCAGTTGAAGCGCCCTCGCCTGTGACATCTTTCCTAGCCTGGATAGCTGTGACACCATTTACATAAATATCTCGCACTATTTGGTTAACTGTGGCTCCAATGTTATACCCGTCTTCCACAACCTGGTTCCCAGTAGTTCCATTATAAACCTCTCTGGTCACCTCTTTCATTACATCGCCATTGTTATGGATTTTCGTAGTTATTTGATTCTCAGGAGCTTCCTCCTTAAAGACCTCCTTCATTATCTGGTTTGTCCAATCGCTGATATTTGTATTCCTAACTACTTTGTTTGCTGTGGCTTCCTCAGCTGTGTCCAGTACTATTTCGCGAACCTTGGCTCCATCCTCTGACGCAACGCTCACAATGGGGGTGCCTGTCACTTCATCCTCTGACGCAACGCTCACAATGGGGGTGACTTTCACTCCATCCTCTGACACAACGCTCACAATGGGGGTGCCTGTCACTTCATCCTCTGACGCAACGCTCACAATGGGGGTGACTTTCACTCCATCCTCTGATACAACGCTCACAATGGCGGTGTCTGTCACTTCATCCTCTGATACAACGCTCACAATGGGGGTGCCTGTCACTTCATCCTCTGACGCAACGCTCACAATAGGGGTGCCTGTCGCTTCATCCCCTGACGCAACGCTCACAATGGGGGTGCCTGTCACTCCATCCTCTGACGCAACATTCACCATGGGAGTGCATGTCACTTCATCCCTTGACACAACAGTCACTATGGGAGTGCCTGTCACTCCATTATCGCTAGAATTCCTTACTGTCTCGTCGACAAGGTAGGTACCACTAGCGATCTTCAAGCCCCGATTTGGTGACAAACTTCCAGTCATCTCTCTTTCTAACTGACTATATGAATAATTAACATTTGCCCTGGAGTAATTGGCTACACATGAAGTGTTCAGTTCATCATACTGTGGATCGGGACTTCGAGCAGTATCTATCTCCCTTTCGTGAGGGGAATGGTAGTGGTAAACATATGGAGAGTTACCTGACGTTGCCCATGGTTGATAGACTTCTACTGTTGCAATAAAAGTAGTTCCTAAACTACACGTCTCGGTTGATTCAGAGTTCATCGTATCGCTCTGATCACTGTCTATATCGGCACTTTTGAGCGTTCCTAAATGGTATGCCGGAGCTAATCCATTCCTTACCATCCCTATCTCGGCCCCTAGAACGTATGTCCCTAGTGACTTTCGTTGACCTAAAGAATCTACGACAATCGGCCCTAACAAACTTGTTGTAGATTGATCTAGACTGAGAGTCCCTGAGCAAGCTGAGGACACCTCCTCACTATTTTGAGATATATCTGTATCCGAGCTATACAAGTCTGTCTCTTGACTCTCTATCTGATGTTGATCTATTAAAGTAGCATCACTATCAGACTCGTCATCATTATTATAGTAGCAAGGAAAAGCCTCCAGTCTACTACCTTTCATTATTTTTTCCTCGTAAAGGGCTTGTGACCTTTTTAGACTCACAGTTTCAATGACCATTCCAGTCTGATCAGCTAGAGCAGACACCTGACTATCAGAATGATTTCCTGTCATAAAACCTTCAAGAGCTATGCTCTGATTACAGTTTTGCATACAACCATTTACGTTAATATGAACGTTCTCGTACCCTGTAGCACTCTTGGCGTCTTCGATGAGAATCTGGTGGGACTCTTCGCCAGGCTCGGACACACCGTAGGCGTTCTCTGCCTTGATGCGGAAGCGGTACTCGGAGCCGACGATGAGGTCAGAGAGTTGTGTCCACGTGATGCGGGAAGCTGTGGCCTTCAACCACACATCCCAACCCACCTGTAGGGGAAAGCGCAAGAGGCACATTATTAGCAAGTCTTGTTATTTCATGTGTAAATAATGCTTGATATATATCTTGACACAAAATATATGATTAACAAGCTCTTCAGAGTACGTCAATCTGCGTACAATCTCCGAAAACTATGCGTGGCTCAGCACAAACATTTATCGAGAATGTCATGGTGAAATCTAGGCAGCAGTGACCCCTGGAGAAAATAACAAGGTGAAGTACGTATTATAAATGAGAAACTTAAGTCTTGTGATATTAACGAGGCTCCTTTCGTGTGCTATTAATATGCTATTGACTATTTCTGGAGCAAAACTACCTTACATTTGATTACACACAGAAATCACAATATCGTGATGCTTCAAATGAACAAGGATCCAAGTAAGTTCAGTAGACCTTCTGGTTTAAATTCTTTTGACTATGTCGTAGCTCAGTAATTAAGGAAGCGTCTGGGATGCTCTCGGACGTAGGATCGAATCCTCGTCACGGCCCTTGTGGATTTGTTTACCTTACTTTTGAGTTCCCCATTTATTACTAACTCATATACGATTGAGTTCCCCATTATTCGAAGGTACGCAGGCAACATATGCCAGTCCAACATTATGAAACTGTGCGTCACAGAGTTTGCAGTATACATAGTAAAATGATGATACCAGCAATATTTTTGTATGAATATGAGAGACAATTACCTAATGGGTTTTAATAGAAGAGAATGAATAAATGAGCTCTGGTTTGATGTTCTAGTTGGTAGTGACACTTGAAAAAGGGTTAATTACAACCTAAAATAAGAAAAAAAACATCGATCTACAAACATTTACCGCGAGACAAACACCAAGAAATCTTTAATATCATAAGACGTCTTCATTCCTTAACAGAAATACGCAATGTTAGTGCGTGTAAAGACACAAATCTAAGGAGCTCTTACATTACAAAAAAAGGACCTGATGGGGGCCTATACTCACCTAGTTGTGCTTGCGTGGGTTGAGCTCTGACTCTTTGATCCCGCCTCTCAACCGCCAATCAACTGGTGTACAGATTCCTGAGCCTACTGACCTCTATCAAATCTACATTTAACACTGTGTATGGGGGTCAGCCTCCATCACATCACTGCTGAATGCATTCCATTTGTTAACTACTCTGACACTGAAAAAATTCTGTCTAATGTGCCTGTGCCTTACCACTCATGGTCTAGCACCTACCCTAAAGTATTCGACGATGTAGTTGGAGACCCTGCAGCCCCCGTCGTCCTGCGGGGGGTCCCATCGCAGCGTGACCGAGGTCCCGGACACGTCGGTGATGGTGGGTACACTAGGGGGATCCGGCCGATCTGAGGAATTACCAGTTGTTTAGTTAAGATTACGACAGCTGCGGGTCATCTAGCCCAGACGGTGAGCGAGTATTGTTTTGACGGAGAAAGTTGATTTAGCCCGTCACTACTAGTAAGTCTTATTGCAGAGAGGAGCACCTTTGCCCGTCAGAGACGTGGAAAGGAAAGACAGTATTAATATCTGACACTGTGATGTGGATGATGGACAGGAGCAATCCATCCTTCTGAAGATGTATTAAGAAATACGAAAGTATTTAAGGATATTCCTGTCTTAATCCTTCTTTTGTAGTCTAACACTGTTACATATATATATATATATATATATATATATATGTGTGTGTATATCACGAAAGTAAACACGTGATTAAAAATGTGACAATGTCAGACCACGGAGGAAAAATGAAACAGGAATTTCCTTAAGTACTTTCGTATATTAATACATCTTCAGAAGGAGTCTCTTCATCATCTTCATCTTCAGACTCCTTCTGAAGATATATTAATATACGAAAGTACTTAAGGAATTTCCTGTTTCATTTTTCCTCCGTGGTCTGACATTGTCATATATATATATATATATATATATATATATATATATATATATATATATATATATATATATATATATATATATATATATATATATATATATATGAGTGAGTTTGGGTGAACGTAAACACGAGCGGCCTCCTATAGGGCTACAGGCTTTCTGCAGTACCATCAGTTCTTGTCTTCTAATGTTCTTCAATACCACCATTGAAAGTGGTCTTGCAAAATAACACAGAAAGTATTAACCATAAAACCCCCAAATAAAATTAAGCGCCCAAAAACCTGTGACAGTAACGAAGAAGGATGAGCTGTCTTCGCCCTGAGGGTTGGATAACCTGAGGGTGTACATGCCCTTGTCCATCCTGCAGGCGCCGGCGATCTTCAAGGTGATGTACTTGTCAGACACGTCCATGGCGTGTCTCTCGTCACCCTCGACCTGCAGGATAAACAAATAATAATAATAATTAGGTCCACATGGGTAGCATTGAGGCACATGGGCAGCATAGAGGCACCTGGGCAGCATAGAGGCACCTGGGCAGCATAGAGGCACCTGGGCAGCATAGAGGCACCTGGGCAGCATAGAGGCACCTGGGCAGCATAGAGGCACCTGGGCAGCCTTGAGGCACCTGGGCAGCATAGAGGCACATGGGCAGCATAGAGGCACATGGGCAGCATAGAGGCACATGGGCAGCATAGAGGCACATGGGCAGCATAGAGGCACATGGGCAGCATAGAGGCACATGGGCAGCATAGAGGCACATGGGCAGCATAGAGGCACCTGGGCAGCATAGAGGCACCTGGGCAGCATAGAGGCACCTGGGCAGCATAGAGGCACCTGGGCAGCCTTGAGGCACCTGGGCAGCATAGAGGCACATGGGCAGCATAGAGGCACCTGGGCAGCATAGAGGCACATGGGCAGCATAGAGGCACCTGGGCAGCATAGAGGTACATGGGCAGCATAGAGGCACCTGGGCAGCCTTGAGGCACCTGGGCAGCATAGAGGCACATGGGCAGCCTTGAGGCACCTGGGCAGCATAGAGGCACATGGGCAGCATAGAGGCACCTGGGCAGCCTTGAGGCACCTGGGCAACATAGAGGCACATGGGCAGCATAGAGGCACATGGGCAGCCAATTTGGTCCACAGACAACTAAGACATATATATAGCCCTATAGTAAGTTTCGTCGCTATCTGATTGTTTGTGGGGTTATCTTGAGGTTATCTTGAGATGGGTCCTCATGGATCCTCAAAGAACCAAGACTTCGTGTACAGTGAGTATCGTGGCTGCTATATTGTTTGGGCTAATAACAAAGGAGTGTGTTAACTTTAAGTTAAAATCTAGACTGATTTAACAAATCTAATGTTATCAGTCATACTGTGAGAACTGATCTGAAATATGTGGTTAGTTGCAAAGCTTTATTTATTGAAGGGTGATCTGAGGGTAAACATTTTGCTGCATTTATTAATATACAGTACAAGATAATTTAATAATATTATTTAATAATTTAAAAATATTTAGTAATTTAATATTATTTAGTAATTTAATATCATTTTGTAATTTAATAATATTAGATTATTAAATTTACTATTAATTAAATTCTATAACTAATTTTATATTATATAACTTTATTTTAAACATATAATAATTTAATAATATAATTATTTAATACTGTACTTTATAGTATTCTTATTAAAATCTTACTGTCTGAGCTGATCTAAAGTTGAAATTTAAGCATTAGTTCAGGTTTCCGGTAAGAATGCAACCCTGATGTATTTTTCGTGAGTTGATCTGCTGGCTATTTTATATAGCATGTTCATGTTCATAAAGGATGAAGATGTTAGGTTAAGAAACAGATCTAATGCTATCATTTGATGTATTTCTGACTCTGAGATTAGTAGAGATTCTGACTCTACTTGAATTCTACTGAATGAAAAACATAGTATATGATTATGGAAATCAAGTATGCCGCGTATAGCAGAGGCTACAGGTGAGAGAGACAGCATCATGAAAGGTGAGGTATGCCAGGTTAGACAAGTGAGAGGGAGAGGAGAGGCACTCTTGTTATCGTTGTGGGAGGCCTGTCTTAAGTGAGAGAGAGAGAGAGAAGAGGTGCTCTTGTTACCGTTGTAGGAGGCCTGTCTTAAGTGTGTGTGTGAGAGAGAGAGAGAGAGAGAGAGAGAGAGAGAGAGAGAGAGAGAGAGAGAGAGAGAGAGAGAGAGAGAGAGAGAGAGAGAGAGAGAGAGAGAGAGAGAGAGAGAGAGAGAGAGAGAAGAGGCGCTCTTGTTACCGTTGTGGGAGGCCTGTCTTAAGTGAGAGAGAGAGAGGAGTAACGCACCTGTTTACCGTTAAGGGAGACACGCCGTATATGAGAGGCGGGAGACTTACCTGTTAACAGCTGTGGGAGGCACGTAATAAGAGAGAGAGAGGATACACACCTGTTTCCCGTTATGGGTCCACGAAGCTTGCGGCTGAGGTCGACCCGTGTAGGGTACTCGAAGTCGGATGAGTTCGTCAGTGTCGAAAATAAGTCCCTGTTCGTATTGCGCCGGAAGCTTGATGTGCGGCAGGGCTGCAAGAAGGAAAACTCATATTGACGTGTGAAAACATGTAATTCTACACTCCAACCAACAGATATTTAACACTCTAGCCAACAGTCATCCGGCCGACACTTCAGCCACCAAGAAACATTAACGGAAAACGAACTTGACAACAACAATGTTACCAGCTCGTCCAGATAGTGTTGTAAATGACAACCTCGATGACTAGAAACACTGCCAAGATCACATTAGCCTTAACTCATATTTACAATATATATATATATTATTTATGGTGTTTACATAAGACAAAGAGATTTCTGCATCTCATTTAAAATACAATGTTAAGTAATGCAATGTAAAATGCAATAAAATACAATGGAAGTCAAGTGCCAAATTTAATGCCTTCTATTAATGAGTACTGTACAGTATTTTAAATTTAAAATTAATCATTAAATCAGTAAGTAATACACAGGTATTATGTTATTGATAATTGGATTCAGTTTTTATTTATTAAGCAGTTTATGAGCTGAATGAATGTCTCGTAACGTTAATCACCAGGAGTGGAGAACGTGATTGTCTTGAACAGTGTGTGTGCATCTGGTGATGGTGTTCACCTTGTACAGTGTCTGTGCATCTGGTGATGGTGGTGTTCATCTTGAACAGTGTGTGTGCATCAGGTGATGGTGTTCACCTTGAACAGTGTCTGTGCATCTGGTGATGGTGGTGTTCATCTTGAACAGTGTATGTGTATCAGGTGATGGTGTTCACCTTGAACAGTGTCTGTGCATCTGGTGGTGGTGTTCACCTTGTACAGTGAGTATGTATTAGGTGGTAGTGTTCACCTTTAACTGTGTCTGTGCATCAGGTGTACAGTGAGTGTCTGAGCATCATATGATGTTCTTTACCTTGTACGGTGAGTGTCTGTGCATCAGATGATGGTGTTCACCTTGTACAGTGAGTGTCTGTGCATCAAATGATGGTGTTTACCTTGTACAGTGAGTGGCTGTGTATCAGATGATAGTGTTCACCTTGTACAGTGAGTGCCTGTGCATCAGATGATGGTGTTTACCTTGTACAGTGAGTGTCTGTGCATCAGATGATGGTGTTTACCTTGTACGGTGAGTGTCTGTGCATCAGATGATGGTGTTTACCTTGTACGGTGAGTGTCTGTGCATCAGATGATGGTGTTTACCTTGTACGGTGAGTGTCTGTGCATCAGGTGATGGTGTTTACCTTGTACGGTGAGTGCCGCCTGGGAGGAGGCCACTCCCACACGGTTGGTGGCCCTTACTCTGATGTCCCCCTCGTCCGTGAGCTTTGCTTCCTTCAGCACCAGCGTATACCGGTCGCCCTCGACTCGAAACTCGAAACGTCTTGTATCATACACCTCGAATCCATCCTTGTACCATGTGATGTCCGGGAGCGGCGTCCCAATGATGTGCACAGAGAACTCAACCTGAATCAAAATAAATCATTACGGAAAATAATAATAATACGTAATAACACTTGAGACAAATTGTGTACAAAGATAATGTTGACCAGACCACACACTTAGAAAGTGAAAGGACGACGACGTTTCGGTCCGTCCTGGACCATTCTCAAGTCGATTGTGAGAATGGTCCAGGACGACCCGAAACGTCGTCGTCCCTTCACTTTCTAGTGTGTGGTCTGGTCGACATACTTCAGCCACGTTATTGTGACTCATCGCCTGCATACAAAAGTAATGTAAATGATGTATCATTTTATTAGCATCTTTCCACACTAGAAGACACCTTTCACCTCCGCGTTAGCGTTTGTGAAAGACCTTAAAGCGACGAGGGGAAGAAAAACGTACCCTATGATTCTCGACAGCTACGGCGTCCCTCAGTTCCTTGAGGAAGTGAGGCTCCGTGGCCTCCTGGTCTGTTGAGATGCTGACTACTTCTGACGGAGGTGAGGGGTCCGACATGCCCACCGCGTTCTCTGCTGATACTCTGTACGGAAGAAGATCGAATGATTAAGATTAAGCCACCCAAAAGGTGGCACGGGTATGAATAGCCCTTAAAGTGGAGGCCCTTTTGAGCCATTACCAGTATCAATAGATGATAATGGAGATCTGTGGAGGTGCGACTGCACCCTGCGTGACGGAAGATGTCTCCCGTGAGATCGAGTGCTTTAAACCCGAAGAAAATATGAAGAAAATGTGGCAATAAATAAACATTCTGAATAACTATAAAGTGGGTGACATTTGATTAACAACAAAATGTCAGAATATCATAAAAATACATGATTTAATTAAAAAAAAAAGTTTGAAAACAAAATTGATGTAGTAACACAGATCGCGAATTATTTCCTGTGTCTTGATATTCCAGTCTATGATATCTCAATCACCATAAGAAAGACTTTCATAATCGAATAAACTACTAATGTCAGAGCTGCCAACATAAAAATAAACAGTCATACTATAGTGCCCTTATCCTAACCTTCCAGAGGACCCAAAACAGAAAACGGGATATAATGTCAATTTCGCGAGCCGTTACCATTTTTTAGTACGAAAATGTTTGTCATTTGGAAAAAGTATGCGTCAAAATTGCGACGATTTATTAGCATTGCATTATAACCTGACTATGGGGCGAAATCGGGATTGGAAGGGATCCATCGAGAAGCATTTCGGCTACTGAGTTCGACGCATTAGTTCTTCAAGCCTGAAACCCGACCTTGCCGGGACACATATAGGGGTCAAGATCCACGCATACAATATAAAATATATTTCAAGAGACAATTCGATAAACACCCCCAAAGGATACCTGATCAAGCAGGCTGTGATTCGTACGTCAGGCTGCGAGCAGCCGCGTCCAACAGCCTGGTTGACCAGTCCAGCAGCCAGGAGGCCTGGCCAAGGACCGGGCCGCGAGGACGTTGAGCCCTGAAATCGAGCAAGGTAACCTGTTCTCGGCGGAAGAGTTCATGGGATCAACCTCTTCCTGCCGGCCAAGTCGTTATTAAATTGAAGTCAAATACATAATTAATTGATTCAAATGATCTAACGTAAATATTTTTTTTTGTTATATTAAGTTTATCTCTTACACGAGAGAGAATATATGTTTGTCTTGCCTGTAACCGCGTTCACCCGACGCTTATGGCCACAATAGGGAGCCGGTCGGCCGAGCGGACAGCACGCTGGACTTGTGATCCTGTGGTCCTGGGTTCGATCCAGGGCGCCGGCGAGAAACAATGGGCAGAGTTTCTTTCACCCAATGCCCCTGTTACCTAGCAGTAAAATAGGTACCTGGGTGTTAGTCAGCTGTCACGGGCTGCTTCCTGGGGGGGGGGGGGGTGGAGGCCTGGTCGAGGACCGGGCCGCGGGGACACTAAAAGCCCCGAAATCATCTCAAGATAACTTCAAGATAACAATATCCATGCAACAAGGCTAAGCACGAGGTGTCACTTGGCTACAGCTGTAGTATGAAGCGGCCACGACCACATTTCCTAGTTGTGGAGATCAGAACAGCTGCTGAATTAGAGATATTCCCTCCCTTATGGCAGCGAACAGTGACGGCTTCTCTCACACTATGAATTCACTCACCCAGAGTAAACGAGAATCTTTTGAATGATTTATTTAAAACCTTAAACTCTCTCTGTTTATAAATTTGAATTAGCAATATTAATTCAAATAGTTCTCTAAGAGCCAGTTAATATTCTTTAATCGCATACTTTATAATTAGTGATCGGAGATGAATTCAGTCTCCTAATTGTTTATTATGGTGTGTGACGTAGGAGCCAGAGCGGCGTTGCCAAGCCTTTATAGGTGGGCGTCACTTTACATAACTACGCACTTATAAACTATTTATTAATTTAATAATTAGAGGGTTATTATAATGAATGTTTTGGTAGTATTTATAGTAACGATGAGGACCATAGTACATATATATCGACGTACAACGCAATTAAAAAGTAGAAAGCTGAACTATTGAATTTGACGCCTATCTACACAAGTCACGGTTAACCAGTAGAACTATTTACACAAATCACGACTAAGCAGTAACCTATCTACACAAATAACGGCTAACCAGTAGCCTATCTACACAAATCACGACTAACCAGTAGCCTATCTACACAAATCACGACTAACCAGTAGCCTATCTACACAAATCACGACTAACCAATAGCCTATCTATATAAGTTATGACTAACCAGTAGCCTCCAGACACGAATGATTCACACGAGAACTGAGTTAGCAGTAAATACTAGAGACGGTCTGACACATACAAAAGTGGACATTGTCAAGTGGGATAGGCAGAAGAAGCCTCGCAATGGGGAGAAGGAAGGAAATTATGATGGAGGGAGGGAACTATCAAGGGGGGAAAGTGCCAAGCCATTACGACTATGTTACACTGGGAAGGGGTCAGGATAAGGATTTGGGACGGGGGGAGAGGAATGGGGACCAACTCCTTGGACGGTCGGGAATTGAACGGCGACCTGCATGAAGCGAGACCGTCGCTCTACTCATAGATCAATTATTATACCTGAAGCGATACTCGCGGCCACCGATGAGGTTAGCGACAGCGAACTCAGTGTCCTTAATGGGTACAAGGTTGACCCTCACCCACATCTCGCCCTGACCCTCACTCCGCTCGATGATGTATCCTGTAGGAAGAGTCACGTCAACACCAAACATATTGTCTTTTCTTTAGTAAATACTATACAATATAAAGATCATATTTACATCAATTTACCAGGGAAAATATTACATTTATATATATTTTATATCATAGTAAACTAATTTTCCATATCATCCCCAAATGTTATATTTGATCCTGCCTCGCAAGAACTTCAATATTTTCTCTACTGAGTAACCCTCCTGCCTGCCTATTCTCACACAGTAACCCTCCTGCCTGCCTATCCACACACAGTAACCCTCCTGCCTGCCTATCCACACACAGTAACCCTCCAGCCTGCCTATCCACACACAGTAACTCAATATGTTGCGCAGTAAAATTATTTGTATTAGTAGTAATATTACTGTTATGATCATGTAGCATTAATAGCAATATTGATAGAATATAAAGTGAAAATAGTTGTAATAAAAATATTACAATTGATAGTAATAATAGTACTGGCAGTATTACAAACCTTGAGTGGCATAATTATGTAATAAAGATATTTTCAGTTATTATTACTCATTACTTAACTGCTAGACTAGCCGGGGGAATGGAATGGAACTATCAGGAGAAAGCGCCAAGCCATCACGACTATATAGCACTTGGAAGGGATCAGGATTAGGATTTGGGATGGGCCGGGGGGGGATACATATGAGCAGGTTTACTAGTCAGTATATGAGCAGACATATGAGCAGGTTTACTAGTCAGTATATGAGCAGACATATGAGCAGGTTTAATAGTCAGTATTTGAGCAGACATATGAACAGGTTTACTAGTCAGTATATGAGCAGACATATGAGCAGGTTTACTAGTCAGTATATGAGCAGACATATGAACAGGTTTACTAGTCAGTATATGAGCAGACATATGAACAGGTTTACTAGTCAGTATATGAGCAGACTTATGAGCAGGTTTACTAGTCAGTATATGAGCAGACATATGAGCAAGTTTACTAGTCAGCATATGAGCAGACATATGAGCAGGTTTACTAGTCAGTATATGAGCAGACATATGAGCAGGTTTACTAGTCAGTATATGAGCAGACATATGAGCAGGTTTACTAGTCAGTATATGAGCAGGTTTACTAGTCAGTATATGAGGAGGCAGAGACCAAAAAGCTATGAGAGAAGAGGGAACAACAGACCTGTGATGGGCGAGTCACCGTCGGTGTGTGGAGGCTCCCACCTGAGGAGAAGGGCATCGTTCTCCACCTTGACGTAGGCCAGTCGGCTGAGCACGCTTCCCTCGCGGTCCACTGCTTCAGGCTTCCCAGGCGCGCTCGGCCGCTCTGCAGGAGAGATGTACGGTAAGCGCTAAGCTGCACAGCCAAATATGTTACCAAAACGTTAACTCACACGCACACACACACACACACAGGCGGGCTCGCGCGCGCACACACACACACACGCAGGCGGGCTCGCTCGCGCACACACACACACACACGCAGGCGGGCTCGCTCGCGCACACACACACACACACGTGTGTGTGTAGAAGGTGGTGGAGGCCAAGACCGTCAGTAGTTTCAAAGCGTTATATGACAAAGAGTGCTGGGAAGACGGGACACCACGAGCGTAGCTCTCATCCTGTAACTACACTTAGGTAATTACACACACAGTTAACAGTTTGTTGCAGTTAACTCTTGCCTTCCACAGAACAATATGTATGAACACGTTGTACTGAACGGAGTGAGAATAGCTTGAGCTACCTCATCCATTAGTGTGTATTTTACCTCAATAAACTTATTTCAATTTCAATTTTACAGACCATACTTAAATGCTCTAATCTTAAGAAACGATATGACTTAGCTTTAGCCCCTCAAGGCTCTCTTTCCTTTCTGTCTCTTATCTTGCTATCTCTTTGTCTCTATTTCACCTCATTTTCTTCGCCTTTTTGGCCCTTGCATTTTTCTTTATTATACTTCAACCGTCTTCCTTTAATTCTACTATTTTCTTATATTTCTACCCTAATTCCCATATTTCAAACCTATTCCTATACTTTACCTTATTCCCATACTTCTATCCGTTCCTATATTTCTTACCTTACTCCTATTCTTCAACACCCCCTTCCCCCCGGTCTGGGAGCCGGTCGGCCGAGCGGACAGCACACTGGACTTGTGATCCTGTGGTCCCGGGTTCGATCCCGGGCGCCGGCGACAAACAATGGGCAGAGTTTCTTTCACCCTATGCCCCTGTTATCTACCAGTAAAATAGATACCTGGGTGTTAGTCAGCTGTCACGGGCTGCTTCCTGGGGATGGAGGCCTGGTCGAGGACCGGGCCGCGGGGACACTAAAGCCCCGAAATCACCTCAAGATAACCGCCTATCATCTCACACTTATTTTATAAATTAACTTTCTCTACTACTTTTTTCGCTAAATGACTTGATAATGGAATAGGACGCACCGAAACGTCAATATATTTATTTTCAGATCTGTGACTTGGGTGTCCAATACCACTCCGGACTCAGCAACCCTTTCTCCTTATTTGCCACAACGTACGAAAAGGAAGGTGCTAGAATCAAGTTACGGGCTCACCATAGCCCGTGCTACTTGGAACTTTGTTCCAAGTAGCGAATTTTTAACAACAACAACAACAACAGGAAGGTGCTAACCTAACCAATCGAACCATAGAAAACGTGGATTTTTTTTTTGTGAGGGGCTACTTTTATCATTTGTATGAGGGGACCACAGCGTACAAAATGAGACGTACTACTTTGCTTTGATGATGATTTGAGAGGACGCCTTCGAACTTGATGAACTCAGTTGTCTAATGAGAAATTCCAAGACACAGATAGAAAATATTTTCCTTTTTTTTTTTTGTCATTAAGATGATAGTGTTCTGGTAAATCAGACGTTGGAGCCCACACCAGATCAAAACCACACTGCAGCTTTACGCAGTCTCACCGTAAGGACTATTTTTCTTATTCTCAGATAAAACAAAGGCAATTGAATATATATATATATATATATATATATATATATATATATATATATATATATATATATATATATGTCGTACCTAGTAGCCAGAACGCACTTCTCAGCCTACTATGCAAGGCCCGATTTGCCTAATAAGCCAAGTTTTCATGAATTAATGCTTCTTCGACTACCCAACGTACCTAACCTAACCTAACTTTTTCGGCTACCTAACCTAACCTATAAAGATAGGTTAGGTTAGGTTAGGTAGGGTTGGTTAGGTTCGGTCATATATCTACGTTAATTTTAACTCCAATAAAAAAAAATTGACCTCATACATAATTAAATGGGTAGCTTTATCATTTCATAACAAAAAACTTAGAGAAAATATATAATTTCAGGAAAACTTGGCTTATTAGGCAAATCGAGCCTTGCATAGTAGGCTGAGAAGTGCGTTCTGGCTACTAGGTACGACATATATATATATATATATATATATATATATATATATATATATATATATATATATATATATATATATATATATAAACACACAAAATATAGACGCGTGCATATAAAACAGTCCACAAATTTGTGTTGTATGAAACAATCTCAAGAATGAAGACATCCGAATAAAACCTAATCTAGGCGTAATATATTACATATACGTATATTACATATATATGTCTTTATTATTGAGACTTACCTATTTATTGTTGCCAATTGGGGAAATTTGAGAACAGTTATGTGCGTACTTACATATTTTGTGTATATCCTATTGTACTCGTATATTCCGTCATATATGGGGGTTGGTAAAGGTAGTCTACGATAGATGTATATACTATCTACAGATTCGATAGCACGACTGCTATCTATGTCATAGTACATATATGTCTATCGTATGACACGAGAGTATAGTGTCATACGCTACTGCCACAACTACTGTACAAATATTGTAATATTTAATGAGATAAAGGGTGATAAAAGATTTGATAAACGGTTAAAACTCTATTAAATAATGGCACGGTCCCATCTATACACATGTACTTCATTGATTAAAACTAAAGCGACCCGAGTGAAAGCAGCAGGAACATTATATTCTACATTAGTGACATTTGTCACTAATGTAGAATATAAACGTTGGAGAAGTTTGACTTACGAAATTTATAATTGATCTAACGTTAGTTATGTCGTTATTTTAAGTGCTTGTTCTAATGTGCGTTAGCGAATCACAACCTTCAAGCGAAAGCAGATCAAGTCTGCAGAGTTTTTTTTTTATTATTATTATTTTCTACCCCAGACGTGGCCACACATTTACAATGCTAACCAGCATACCAGCAAATCTTTCACCCTGTCCTCTATGGACAGGGTGAAAGATTTGTCAAACATACAGTTCAGAGATTTATTGAACAACCACAGAAGGTGATCGTAGTGCTTTTAAAATGTTAGGCTAAGCTACATACGTAAATACATAGATACACAGATTTATGAATGCATTAAGAGCTGTTTCTTACAATTTCCACCAATCACATAATTTTACAAGAATTGTTTTGTGGCGTAGACTGTAAATCCCCTTTCATTATTTATATTTAGTCACATAACTAAAATATTCACGACATACATGCACAAACTTCCAGATACACCCAAGACACTGGAGAATACACATAAATTTGTTGTTTATATATGGTTTCAGCGAGTATGTGGGATGCACATTTAGTTCATTTGTTCATCTAGCGGCCAGAAACACGCTCATTTGCCCCATCACGCCGCTGAAGCCGTTTGCTGGTGACTGAGCTCCTGTACCAAGATGATATTTGGGCTCAGTGTACTTCATTCCGCCCCAGAACGTTTGATCTTCGAATGCTTTAAGCCTTTATTAATTGCCAGATAATATCGAATGCATAAATCATACGTCCTCGAGACGTGAATACCATCATCGCCACTCTCAGAGCCAGCAAGCGTTTCTAACAATCATATTTAACCATGAAATCAACAGTTATCACTCTCATCTCAATTCATATTAACATGCACGACCAACCCACAAGTCCAGGGAGACACCTATTATCAACGTCGACCCTGTTTGGCTGTTTCATTCTACAAGTGACCGGTCACTGGCCAGTGACAGACAGTGCCAGTAACCCGAGACAAGGGTACGGCAGTTAGCAGCAGGAAGGATTAGGCCATTAAGCAAGTAGTGTTATTGTTTTCTGTGAGGTAGCCTAGTGTTCGCATTGAGCCTTGCGCCACACATACTGCTCTCAGAGGAACAATTTTATGATAGCATCATGCTATCGGTCTACATTATAATTATGGCTAAGTTGTAAAGTATAGTTATAAAAAAATATAGAGGATGAGAGGAATTATATATATATATATATATATATATATATATATATATATATATATATATATATATATATATATATATATACATATATACATATATATATATACATATATATATATATATATATATATATATATATATATATATATATATATATATATATATATATATATATATATATATATATATGTCGTACCTAGTAGCCAGAACGCACTTCTCAGCCTACTATGCAAGGCCCAATTTGCCTAATAAGCCAAGTTTTCCTGAAGTAATATATTTTCTCTAATTTTTTTCTTATGAAATGATAAAGCTACCCATTTCCATATGTATGAGGTCAATTTTATTTTATTGGAGTTAAAATTAACGTAGATATATGACCGAACCTAACCAACCCTACCTAACCTAACCTAACCTATCTCTATAGGATAGGTTGGGTTAGGTAGCCGAAAAAGTTAGGTTAGGTTGGGTAGGTTAGGTAGTCGAAAAATAATTAATTCATGAAGACTTGTCTTATTAGGCAAATCGGGCCGTGCATAGTAGGCTGAGAATTGCGTTCTGGCTACTAGGTACGACATATATATATATATATATATATATATATATATATATATATATATATATATATATATATATGTCGTACCTAGTAGCCATAACTCACTTCTCAGCCGACTATTCAAGGCCCGATTTGCCTAATAAGCCAAGTTTTCCTGAATTAATATATTTACTATAATTTTTTTCTTATGAAATGATAAAGCAACCCTTTTCTCTATGTATGAGGTCAATTTTTTTTTATTGGAGTTAAAATTAACGTAGATATGTGCCCGAACCTAACCAACCCTACCTAACCTAACCTAACCTATATTTATAGGTAAGGTTAGGTTAGGTAGCCAAAAAAAGCTAGGTTAGGTTAGGTTAGGTAGGTTAGGTAGACGAAAAAACATTAATTCATGAAAACTTGGCTTATTAGGCAAATCGGGCCTTGAATAGTAGGCTGAGAAGTGCGTTCTGGCTATTAGGTACGACA